CCCCACCCCCACCCCCTGCTTAGGCCAGAGCCCAAAAATACAGAAAAACATTCAGACAAGTTTAAAGAGGCAAATTTAAAGACTACTCACTTGTTTTTCAGAGCCCAACTAAGCTGTTTTGCATTCCCTTTGTGGTATTTCCTTTTTATCGCTGCTGATTTCTTCAGACCTTCGAGTGGTAAATATTTCTCTGCATTTAGAATCATTCTGTTCCTACTGCTTAGCTCATTTGTGGCTGATAAAAAACATGTCTAATTCTAATGTTGTTCTTCACTGGGTAAGAAACGTGGCCCAGGGTTACAGATGATATTGCACATTGTCTGGGACAGAGCAGGTTCTCTGCTCCTTCCAGACTGCAGGATCTCCCAGTTAATGAGGCATCAGTGATGGGACTGTGTCACTGATTCCCTGCACTGCAGGAAGTGCCACCAGGGGTAGGTGAGACAGCTCTGTCCTGTGTGCACTGATCCTTCTCAGACAAAACTCCCACCCAACGCTGTGAAAACAGAGAATTTCTGAGAAGGGAAACAGAAGCATCACAAAAGATGCTGCAGAGTTTGACAACTTACCTGTTGGGACTCTGGTTTTGACTCGCTCCTTGTATATATATTATTTAAGAACACAAGCCCATGCAGTACCTAATCCGAGCAATGTATATCAGGGGTTAATGCACAGTTTCTTTGCAGACCTGCCACTTAACACAAAATAGAATTTTTTATTCAATTCAGGCACCAGAATGGGGTATCAAAATAAAGTTATTAATGTAATTTACTTTCAATCTTATGACTTGTCAATTTTCATTGAGTCACTGCTCTTAATCCTCCTCAATTCCACACAACTAGATTTAAAATGCAACCACATACAGTAGGGATGTTCATTATAGTTCTGTATTATGGTTAAATAATTCAGATCTAACATTTACTACTGGAATCTCCCCCTCAGTTTGTATTGGGCTTTGATTTAGTGAATACCATATCATAGTTAAAATTGTGTTTTCTCACTAATTAGAGTTATTTTACAAGTTATTACTTTTGCAGCATGTTTTTACCATAGAAAAGAAACTCCTGCTTCCTGTAAATTTCCATACGCAGTGATGTGCCATGTAGAGCTAGCAGAATAATTATTGAAGGACAAATATCTTTAAACAGTTTTACTCACAATAATAAAACGTGGATGCACAAGAAATTCAGTTTGGTACACATTTTCCCTATATTTTACAATATTGCTGATGATAAAATGGAGAGGGGAAAAAAAGGAAAAAAAAACCTGCCAATTTGTTTAATAACTTGAATAACAGTTTGGGAACCATGAATTAAAGAGCAAGGAAAACCAAATGCTGCATTCAACTAGAAAGTATTTAGAAATTTGGTTGCGTCACCTCAGGAGAAATCGGGCCCATCAGAATGTGCCATGAATGTGGAGTTAATTGGTCATTCCCTAAATGGGCTGGAATGGCACGAAGAATAAACAGGAGAAGGAGGAAGATTTACGAGTTTGTGGATATCCTCCCCCCACAACAGCTTGGTCTTTGTGCTCCGGGATAGAAGAGCTCTGTTTTTAGGTGGGGAAGGAGCTCACAATGGCACTGAAATCCACACAAGTGCAGGACAATGCAGCCCTCAAAGGAAAATCCATCTTTTCATGTGTGCTGCCAGGGCAGTGCTGGGCACAGGGACAACCTGGATGGGGCAGAGGAAACACAGCCCAGGAGAGGGGCAGGAAGAGCAGTGGGAAGCAGAAGGGGAAAAGCCTGGTTGCAAGTTGGGAACTTGTTAATTGTGGAATCTCCCTTCCCTATCCTGTAGTGGAAACCCAGTTTGTAGAAATGAAGATGTTCTGCCTCAGGATGTTCTGCCTCCTAAGTAAGTTTTAAGGATTTTACCTCTCAGGCTTTCTAAAAGGACAACTAACCTGAATTCACCCAGCTTGACACTAGAAGCACTTACATAAAATATGAATCAGTCCATGATTAAGTTTTCTTTGCCACGTATGTGCAAAGCTAATGGAGATATGTCTTTCAACAGTGACAATTAAACTGAAAACATCCTTAAAATATACTCTCACGTGGTTCATTTGATAAAGTTATTGTAAGGGGACACTGTAACTTAGAAAATGCAAATAATGGCTACTAACCATATTGCACAAGGCTCTCAATGAACTCTCATGTGGATTACAAAACTTTTTAGCTGACCACACTTCAAAATCAATTTGAAGTCAGGATGAACAAATTCAAATTAGGATGCTATACAAGTATTTCTGACAATATTTTCACATTTGTCATTATAATAGAGGAAATATGCACTGTGAATGTCCCAAATGTGCATATTAACCAATACTGTCCCTTGTCCCCAACCTGTAACCAAAGAAGCTGATGGAGCAAGCAGGTCTCCAAGTCTGAGCTGCATGGTGGATGGAAAGTTGGATATGAGTCAGCAGTGCCCTGGCAGCCAGGGGGGACATGCCTGTTCTGGGGGGCACCAGGCCCAGCATGGCCATTTGGGCCAGGGAGGGGATTATCCCTCTCTGCTCTGCACTGGCATGGCCTCACCTCAAAGATTGTATGAAGTTTTATTCACTGCAATATAAAAAAGAGTGTTCAAAGGAGGGACACAGCATGGGGAAGGGTCTGGAGGGGCCCTACGAAGAGTGGCTGAGGGCACTTGGTTTGCTCAGCTGGAGAAGGGAAGATTGAGGTCAGACCTCACCAGGGGCTGCAGCTCCAATCTCTGCTGCCCGGGACAGGGACAGCACCCAGGGAACGGCTGGAGCTGGGCCAGGGGAGGCTTAGGGTGGATATCAGGGAAAGGTTCTTCCCCCAGAGGGTGCTGGGGCACTGAGCAGACTCCCAGGGTTTGGTCACGTCCCCAAGGCTGCCAGAGCTCCAGGAGCATTTGGAGAACACTCTCAGGGATACCCGGGGTGGGATTGTTGGGGTGCCCTGTGCAGGGCTGGGAGTTGGACTCGATGATCCTTTCAGGTCCCTTCCAATTCAGGATGTTCCGTGATTCTAACTAGGAGGCAGAAAAAGACATTTGAAAGATAAAGAAACAAAAGGCCTGTAACAGATAGGGTGCACCCCAGAAAAGCTCTGGAGTACAGAGGAAAAAGCCTCAGAAGGAAAAGCCCTGAACAAACCAATGCACGAAAGGCACACCACTGAGTCCAGCAGGGAACAGAAAAGGCTCAGTAGAAGGGCCAGATTGCAGCAAAGCTGAGCCTGCCCGCTGCTGCACAGCCCATAGAGCAATTTCATTCACATCAAGCCAAATCCAAGTATCTGTTCCCTGGAACCAGCAAGAAAC